ATATATAAGGGTAAAGTCATAATTTTATTAATTCTTATTAGGTTATCGGTTAACCCATTAACAAAATTGACAAACCGAGACCCGAACCGATAACCCAATAGTAAAAAAATTCTAAACCGTTAACCCAATAATTCGATACTGATAACTCAATAAACAATTAATAGTTCGAGTTATCGGTTTTACCCAATATATGCCCAGCCCTATGCTGAACTTCAACATGTTTTAGCTTAAGTTTTTCGCGTAAACTTAGTGTTGGCTAAAGTTTTTATTTGTAATTGCTGAACTTAAGCATTCTACTAGCTGGAGTTTTATTCTATATTTGCTGAATTCAGCATGTTTAGCTAAAGTTTTAGATAAAAATTACTTCAATGTGTAGGCACCCCCTGCTTTGACTTTGCCACAATCTTTGCAACCCCAAATACCATCAGCCTTCCTCTTCCCAGCGTACTACAATGCCAGAATCTAATTAACATTATTATCAATACAACTATGAATACACGGTCCAGAAAACTATCAAATAACATATAAGCAAAGTTGTACCTTTCCACAGAACTCACAGAAATACTTGCTATGCTGGCTGACCTCCATCTTCTTAATCTACTTCCTCAAACTAGCACCATAACGGGTACCTGAAAAAACACAACGTTATACCAAGTCATATGAGGCGCCTGAAGTTGTAAAAATTAGAGTATATATTAAATAATTTTAAAAATATGGGTATAGGTTAAATTGGGGCGACCAAATAGAGTATCTATTACACCCCTTTTTTTTACCAACTTCTTAACTAACCCTCTTAAAAATAATAAAAAGATTTAGTAAGGCTTGAAAAGGGTTTTTCAATTATGAAAGTGACAAAATTGATGTTCAAAAGGATTAACTCAGAGTCGTCACCTGACATTGGTTTCGGTGTGCCAGATCATATTTTATAAAAATGATTTTTCCTTTTTAAATACTTTGGACTCAAAAACTAAGTCTGCACCACAGATTTGGGTAAGGGGATTCATTTGACTTGGGGAGAAGGTGTTAGGCACTCCCCAAGTCCCGTAACTAGTACGGTTGCGTACTCGATCTAGTTGGCCTTTCAAAACATTCAAGTTGAGGTAAAATCACAGAAAAGGAAAATAAATACAAAAAGACTCGAGGTCATCCCCACCTAATAAAATAAAAATAAAAATAAAAATTAAATAAGAATAAAAGCTAGCCTACATTGTACTACCTCCACGGTGCTCGTCACGGCTTCCAAATACATGTACTACGGGGCATACCCCAGATAAAATATATACAAATCCTTCGGGGCATTCTCCAGATGAATTTAACTAAGAAAACGACATCTCGCCTCATAAATTCAAACAAAATCCTAAAGGTTTGCCTATCCTGATGTGGTCGGCCTAAACATGCTCCTAGCGAATTAATTAAATAAAGTAATAAAACTATTAAAGTCAGTTGTTATGCGAGATTCATGGTTAAAGTCCAACTCAAACTTTTAATGTCATTGCCGGATGATCCAATTGACTCAAACAATGAGGTTTAGCCACCGAGTATACTAATCAATCCAACGTGATCCAAAAAGAATAATTTCATATTCAAATTACAAAACCACCAAATTCAAGCATCAACTCCACTTAGTTTTAAAGTTACATTCAAGCTCTAAATCAACTCATTAAAGATACGAACAAAACAAAATCTAAAGAAAATTGCAAACCCATGTGAAATTCACATTAATAGAATGCATCAAAAAAGGTAGCGCCAATTCATTCACAAAATAGCAAACAAAAACAGATTTAAGACATAAGAGTTAGAAATGGACCTCAAAAGATGACTTCTGTTAATTAACTTTTCTTGGCTTGAACGAACAAATATGAAAATGACCTCCGGTAGATAACACAACCACGAACAAATACAGAACTTGAAGCTCGAGCAGGAACCGCGAATCTGCCCGGAAACCTCGGACTACGACTTTCGACGAACTCGGAACTCAACAGAAATTAAAACACCAATTAATGACTGAAGATGGTCTCAAAGGAGCAACGACAGTATTTCCCAAAAAAGAACGACGGGAACAGAACGAGAAGATGCAAATCGCTGAAAAATTCAACCAAAGCACAGCGTATCCAGAAGATAATAAACGGGGTAGTAGAGCATAGCAAATCACTGAAAAAGCATTTTCCGACGAAAGCACACACAAACAAAGCCACGCCTGTCTGAGACAGTCATTCCTAAGAACACTACTTCAGCAACTAAACGGAGTAGCGACTGTGAGAAGAAGGGAGTGGCACGCGACAGCAACGAGGGAAGAGAGACAGCAGCGGTGCTGGTGGTTGCTAACTCGCCGTATTCCAGTGCTTGGCGGTAAGGGAGCGGCGGCTGTGGTGGTGTATAGAAGAGCGACGACTGGTTCATTTTAGGTGGAGGGTTTGTCTTGTGATCTTCAGATTTTGGTCTTACGTCTTGTGTGCGAGAGATGGGGTGGGCGATGGGGCTTGGAGATGTGGAGAAGATGGGAGATTAGGGAGGGCTGTGTGCGTTTTTCCGGCGAGTTTGGTTTCTGGCGCGGCGGCTTCAAGTGGTGGGCGGCGGCTGTCTAGGTATGGGGTTCTAGGGTTCCGCTAGTGTGTTCCCTTCTTCGTGAAGATGGCTGCTCCCTTTTGTATATTAGGTTCGAGGTTTTTTTTTTTTGTAAGTCTTTGTGTAAGGAATAAGAAGACAAGGGTAGGGTTAGTGGATCAATTGAGCCAATTATTTTTGGGCTCAAATTCTATGGGCTAGACAATTTAAATGAGCTGAAAATTTAATTTACTTTATTTTTAAAAATTACTTATAACAAGGAATAAAATAACTCTCTATTAATTTTAATAAACTATTATATTTAAAATAAAACTACAAATTAAAGTTGAAACTATTTTTGGTATTTTTAAAGATTATATTAAAATAAAATAAAAATAGGTTTAAAGTAATATATCCTTCTAAAAATATCTAATACGTGAAGTAAGTAGAGAAATATGGAACTATTTTTGTAATTTTCAATTTTTGTTCTTAAAATAATGTAAAATAGTTAAAACTAGGTAAAATAGCAATATTAGGCCTAAACTAAATATCTAAAAGCTAAAAAGTGTAAAATCTCGGGGAGGGTCAAAAATTACATGTCAACAGCTGCCCCTCTTTGACTGGAAACACGAAGCGTTTTCAGATAAAGGACGACGAGACAAGTTTTTTGACCCGACACTTATTTAAAGAGACCAAAATTTAAAAGAAAGGAGAATGTGACCGAGCCCTGGTATCTGAGCTGCCTACATATCCTTGGCTATAAAGGAATCACGCCACGTGTAGTTCAGAAGTAGGAACAGTGATGGAGTGTACCGAGGTGGAGAGCCGATTGAGGAGCCGTCGAGGTTCCGGTCCGCGGTCCCTACCATTACTTCGAAAATAAAAGGAAAAATTACAGCAGAAATAAAAGAAAAATACAAGATCCTATCTACTTCTTGTCTTGAATCTTCCTTGAATCTCGACTTGATCTTCAATATGAAACTAAAAAATGGACCATGTTCTTCGGGCGGGCTCCTGATGCTTCTTGAACTTGAAAATTAAAAGTTCACCCTATTCTTCAGGCGGGGCTCCTGACGCCTCTTGAATTTGAGAATTGAAAGTAACTCTGAAATGAATTCTCTCATTTTCCAGGTGGGCACCTGCCAGTGACTTAAAACTTGAATTGAATTCCCTCATTCTCCAGGTGGGCGCCTGCTACTAACTTGAAACTTCAGATGACTTCCCTCGTTCTCCAGGTGGGCGCCTACCGTTAAAGCTTGTAACTTGATATGGATTCCCTCATTCTCCAGGTGGGCGCCTGCGACTGACTTGAAACTTGATATGGGTTCCCTCCTTCTCTAGGTGGGCGCCTGCCAGTGACTTAAAACTTGAAATTTCTGAAATGAATTTGTCACGACCCGGATTTTCCACCATCGGGAGTCGTGATGGCGCCTACTGTTGGAGCTAGGCCAGCCAAGTATTAAAACATTTCTAATAACATTCGCAACAATATAAATAAAACGAGACAATTAAATAAAAGTGGAATTCTTTAAACTTAGATAACTGAAATCAAATGCGGAAGTCTAGATACATCTCTACCTAGAGTCTGGTGTCACTAACTCACGAACTACTAGAGAGTACTACAAACAAGGTTTGAATAAAAGATACAATGCTTTGTTCCGATATAAAGGGAAACAATCTAAGTAAGATAGGAAGGGACTCCGGCCTACGGACATCAGCTAGGCTACCTCGAAAGTCCCCGGACTGAAGTCAACTCCCGATCAAATCCTACTGCTGAGGTTCAAAAGCTGCTCCGAGATCTGTACAAAAAGATGCACAGAATGTAGCATCAGCACAACCGACCCCATGTGCTAGTAAGTGTCTGGCCTAACCCCGGCGAAGTAGTGACGAGGCTAGACAGGACCTACCAAAAACAACCTGTGCAGATATATGCAATAAAAGGGAATATATAGAATTTAAACAGCTAAGAGGGGGGGAAAAGCATGCTATGGGGGTGTAGCAGTTCAGATATAAAGTCAACAGATAGAGAAGTGAAACTGTACAATAGCAACATTTAAAGAAAACAGGTTAATCAACAGTTGCACGGCACCAACCTTCGTGCTTTTACTCTCGTTCTCACCAAAACAGTCAAATAAGGTACACGACATTAACTTTCGTGCTTTTCCTCACATAAACTCTCATATCAAGGCACGGAATGACCCTTCGTGCATAAATATTCAAAACGTGGCACGATATGACCCTTCGTGCATAAATATTCAAAACATGGCACGGAATGACCCTTCGTGCATAAATATTCAAAACATGGCACGGAATGACCCTTCGTGCATAAATATTCAAAACATGGCACGGAATGACCCTTCGTGCATAAATATTCAAAACATGGCACGGAATGACCCTTCGTGCATAAATATTCAAAACATGGCACGGAATGACCCTTCGTGCATAAATATTCAAAACATGGCACGGAATGACCCTTCGTGCATAAATATTCAAAACATGGCACGGAATGAACCTTCGTGCTTTTACACTCTTTCCTCACAATAACAAACAATGCACGGCATCTGTCACACCTCATTTTTCCGGCACCCGCTGGGGCGCAGAGGGAGTTTTTCCAATTAAAGGACAATCGAAACGGGATTTGTTTATTTATTTCA